CAATAGCAACAACAACATCAACAAAAACAACAATAACAAAATATCATTCATATTTCCCTAACCTATGTTCAGCCATTAAAATTTTGGAACTCAATTCCAAATAGACTGCGATTTCACAAGCACTAATAATTTGAAAAAAAAAAAAAAAAAGACGTGAACAAATGCTGGAAATTTCTTACCAAAACATTCCATCAGTTAATTTTCATTATAGCTACAAAACGCCCATGATAGAGAGAAAAAAATTAGATGACTAAATCTTAGAAAAAAAAAAGAAACAGAACAGAAGCATTAAACACATAAAGCATGATATCTGCTCACCTAGTCTAGAAACTTTATAATAATTAGAAGGATGAGAAGAAAAATTAACATTTTTGATACTTTTTCTAAATGCAAACGATAATAACGCATCGTACTGCTAATGGAAAATCAACTGCTTGGGATTATGGTATTAAAAAAAATTCTCTGTTTGTACAGATGCTGCAGCAAACAAGGAGATTTCGACAGAAATTAGAAGAAAAAATACATACATATAAAAATAACCAGTCAGTTTATAGAGACTCTTCCGACCAATAGTATAACGCTGAACAGATAACTTTAGTTGTCGACAAAATGTACCTACTATATTCTCAAGATGCCAAAAAATAATAAAGTGAAAAAGAATCAAAGGAAATAGAAAATCAAAGAAAAATCAAAATAAAAATTTAAAACTTTGATTAAATCAAAAACAAAAAATAACGCGTACCTCCCTCCTCCCACCTCCCCAACTCTGCAGAAAAAAAAAAAAAAAAGCGATTGAAGGATATAGCTCAAAAGTTTCTAATTTCATTGTTAACTGACGTTTGCCTAATTATACAGTAATTACTGTACAAAAATATCTAAAATTCAAGTTAGAATCATGACAAACGACAGATCACCAAAGGCTTTATCTAAAGGAAAAATAAAAATTTGGTTAGCAAACTATATCCACAGAAATAAGAAAGGGAAAAAAGCAAACGAGTAAACAGATGATAAAAATAGCCTTCGATGCCTACCTCTAAAAAAGCTTTAGATTTATTTCACCTTATAAGCTGCGCTGAACAGTTTCACCGTCAAAAGAAAAAAAAATAAATAAATAAAAATAAAAAATAAACCAGGCAGTATAACATTCAAAGCACCGCCGACTAACCGCAGAAAGAAGACAGCTGAATTCTGGATGAAATCAGTCTTTCGTAACATTTAGATGTGCGGAAAAATAATGAAATAATGAAATATGAAATATACTCAAGGACACTTCATATGTAAATGCAAAAAAAAAGTTTTTCTTCTACATCCCAAAAACCTTCAAAAGACAGTAAAAACAAAAGAAGAAGATTCTTAGACTTTGAATAAATGGAGAAAAGAAAATAAAGAAGCAAACAAGCAAAATATCACAAAAAATTCTACTGAAATGCTTCAAATCACGTATTTTTGGAAAATTCACAAAATTACTAGAGATAAAAGACGCCCATAATCATTTCTTTATCAAATTAAACAAAAAAATTTGATAAGCTTTCCAAAGTAACTTGGAGAAACGTTATTTTGAACGGGGACGGCCGAAAATAATGTAATAATGCTAAAATCAAGAACACAATAAAGGGAAATCTCAATATTACTACTGACCACTTGTAAGTGGAAAAACAAAGTAAAAAAAAGGGGCAATGTAAACCGAATTAGTAGAATTAGAATGAAGCAGACGCAGAAAAAAAAATTTTTTTTTTTTAATCTTTCCTACAGACAAAATTAGCCAGAAAAAAAAATTTATCAACCAGGAATAATTCTGAAAGGACCAATAAAAACGCGGTTGCCTCAAAAAATTAACTGGTGGCAACAATAAATTGAAATTTTTTTGTCAAATCTCTCGCTTTCTTCTTTTTATTAGAGAGAGAGAATAAAAAGTAGCGAGAGCAATCTATACATGAAGCAAAAGTACTATAAAGAATTAACAATTTTATTTGAAAGAAAAAAGGCTGAATAATGAAATTTTCAAAATTATTTAAAAAGTTAAAGTCAAACATAGTAAAGCCTTAAATTTAACTGAATAAATATTATTTTAGAGCAAAATTAAGGAAAAACAGACCGAATGAGATGTATTGAAGCGAGCGAAAGTCACTCGACGTAAATGATGCAGAAGGAATGATAAGCGTCTGATGAGTGCCACAGAACGATTAGGTAAAGGACGAAGAGCAAATGAACTATCAGCAGAAATATCGCGATTCCCACCACCGTGTCGGTTGGAATGATTTAAAAAAGGCATATTCAAATTTACGCTGTAGGCAATCCGACGTTGAAATTTTGTCTTTCCTGCGGCTTACGACGCCTCAGTAGAAGACAAATTCAGGCTTTCGGATGCGACAAGCGGCTGGTATGAACGAAACAAACTCACTAATATTTTCCACAGCACTGCATTGTGCAAAAATTGCCTTCAATCAGCACACCTTCTCTATTTCACTTTCAACACATAAACATTATTCATTCATAGCCAATCAGCCACTTCTGCAACCAATGATACCTCTTACAACAATTTTTTCAAAGAAATCATTTTTTATTTTCACTCTTACACAAATATTGATTAGGATCAGTTACAAGGAGTTGGAAAAATATGCTGTTCAAAAAACATTTTATTCAGCGAAATGGTATGGAAAGTGGGAGGAGGAAGAAATATCGGATTAACTAAGATATATTAAAATTTTTTCAAATCCTTATTAATACAATACTTTTTAACTTCATTCTATCGATAAGGATATCAGAAAAACAGTTAGCTCTAAAGTAAAAAGTACCTTCAATCAAACTTTAATTCAAACTAATCGTACCTCGCTCCTTCCCATAAAAATTGAGGCAAAATTAAACAAAAAAAAAAAAAAAAAAAAAAAAAA